TGATGCTGCTTGGCCTGCTGTGTTCATCCAGCTCTACACCTTGTTATCTCAGATTCTCCAGCATCTGCAGTTCCGACTATCTCTGACATTTTTAAGTTCACCTGTGATCATTACAGCTTCACAAATCTTAGTTGACTCAATTTAACAATCAATGACATTGATATGATTATGTCTGACCAAGATTTGTAACGTGCACTGTTGGTCAGTTCAGAAGCTGCATATGCAGAGTAATTTGATGGTAGATGTGTGTCCCATTTGAATCTATGGGTGCCTGTTTAATGAAACTGATCCTTCTCAGCCCTTACATTGCCTACAGAAAGACAAGACAGAGATACTGTGAACAATCAGATGAGGACAAAATGAGTGAGCAGTAAGAAAGCAAGCTAAGAACCTGGTGATGCATCCTGTGCATTAGCATGAGATAGCTGTATGTCCCTGTGCACTGAGTAACCTGGCAGGTTCATTGTAATGTACGGTGTCAGTGAGTTCCAAAGTGCAATGAACTGCTGAAGTGTCTTCCGAGGTAGTCCAAGATTGCACATGTTGATGCAATGATGTTTGTGTTTTGCTTATGTCAATCTCTTAATGGACAGTGGAGATAGTCACTGCCCATACAGCATGTTATGAGATGTAGGGGGAATGGTGGCCAGTTATAGAGGCCCAGAGAACACACCAGCAAGCTGCAGCTGCCAGGTAACCACTCAGAATTTCAAGTTAGGTTTTAGCATTATTTTGTTTCTGACTGGTACCTGGGAGGATTGCGAACTGCAATGAAATGAGGTGAGATTAGGTAATAATAAAATGCTAACGCTGCCACAAGGGTCATCACTGCTTACTAGTCAGATTCTCATCTAGCCATTGAGACCTAACCTAATGTTAAACGGAATATCAAATTGTTCTTCTCAGTGTCAAGAATCTCATTTTCCATTCTCGCTGCATTCTTCCAAATTCCTTGACATTACCCATATTGCTCAAGGGCTGGGAAGATTCTGCCCATAACTTCTACCAAATATCTTTGCCAGTATATAGATAGTAAGTAGATAACAAATGGTGGGGTGGTTCATTTTGGGGCCAAATAAGATGATAATATGCTCAGAGTAGTAGGGCAAGGCCTTAATACTCAATGAGTTCTTTGCATCTGTGTCAAATGAAGATGATGAACCTTGTAGAATAAGTGAAAATAGTGGAGGTAATGGAATAGTGTGAAAATTAAAAGGGAGGCTATGCTTCAGGTAGATAAGTGACATGGCCTAGATGGTTTGCATCCCAGGTTCCTAAAGGAAGTATTTGTAAAGATAACTGAAGGGCTTACCTTAATTTTTCAATTCCCCCCCCACCGCCCAGATACGGGTAAGGTGACAAAGTATCGGTTGATCTAAATGTGACATTTTTACTCGAGAAAGGCTGCAAGGACAGTTGAGTAATTACTGGCCAGTTAGTCTAGCACGGGTAGGGTTGGAGGAGAAGGAAACGTTTTGGGATCCTTAATCACGGAAGATAAACAGCATGCATTTGGATAGGAAAAGCTGAAAAAAACTGCTATTCCAAGGAATCCAAAACAAAAACAGAACTTTTTGGAAAATCTCAGCAGGTCTAGCAGCATCTGTGGACAGAAATCAGAGTTAATGTTTCAGGTCCAGTCACCCATCTTCAGAACCTTCAGGTGATATTTTTGTTGCATTTGGAGAAGTTTGAGGTAATTAAGGATAGCCAACACAGATTTGTAAAAGGCAGAACATGTTTGAGTTATCTAATTGAACTTGTTGATGAACTACTAGAAAAAGGTGGGGGGGGGGGTGAATGTGGTGAATGTTACCTATGGATTTTAAGAAAGAGTTTGACTAGGTGCCATATAAAAGACACTTGTTGAATAAGATAACCAATTTGCAATTGGATGAAAAAGTTTTCTTAGTGGCAGAGAGGAGCAAGTCATGGTAAGTGGTAATTTTTCGGCTGGAGGGTGGTGGACAGTGATTTTCCCAAGTATCAGTGTTCCAACCACTGCTTTCTTTTTGCTGTGTATAAATAACAGGTGAACTAACTGAAACCAATATCTTTTTAATAGGGTCTGGATGTTGAATGTCCGTTGCATCTTTCAAGGGTTCGTTCAAGGGTTTAGAACTTTGTAAAGAACATTTGAGTGGTGAATCAGCTGCTTTCTTTCAACCTCCCTGATTGATTAAACCAAAGGTTTAAGTTCTTTATATTTAGCTGACAGTTATACCATTTTTTATAGCAAATATAGCTATTCTGTAGAAACAAGGAGCCAATCAGCAAAGTTTACTTGAGTTGAAAAGAAAGCTCATTTTCATGCAAACGCGCGCGCGCGCACACACACACACACACACACACACACACACACTCTCACTCACACTCTCTCTCTCTTTTTGGTGTTCCTGAGATGTAAGTGTTTAACTGGAGACCACAGTTAGTTGGTTGATTTCTGGGATCACCAGAGGTGTTGTTATTGGAATCATCTCAAATTCTCAGTGGCCTTGTCACCAACTTTGTTTTTTGAGAAGTGGATGGAGAGAAACTTCCACAGCCTCTTTCAGTGCAGCAGTCAAAAATCCATCTCTTCTGTCAAATGCAGTTCATTGAAATGCAGTTTGGCTGCACACGCTGCATTCTGCAGTTTTGTTGTTTTTCAAGCTTCAAAATAGATTTGTAGAGTCATAGATTTATGCAATGCAGAAAAGACCCTTCGGCCCATCAAGGCTGCATGGACATAACTACCACTAATCCAAATTTCCTGCACTTGTCCCATATCCTTGAATGTTATGATGTTTGAACAACTCATCCAGATATTTTTTAAAAGTTGTAAGGCTTCCAGCCTTCACTACCTTCCCAGGCAATGCATTCTAGATTCCCACCACTCGCTGAGTGAAAGCATTTTTCCCCAAATCCCCTTTGAATCTTCCTGCCCTTTACCTTAAAACTATGCCCTGTCATGAGTGACCCATCAACCAAGGGGAGCAGCTGCTCTCTCTTCACTCTGTCCACCTTCATAATGTTATAAACCTCAATCATGTCACCGCTCGGTCTTCTCTGTTCTAAAGGAAACCATCAAAGCCTATCTAGTCTCTCCTTATAGCTCAATTTCTCCATCCCAGGCAACATCCTGGCAAACCTCCTCTGTAACTCCTCTAGTGCTATCACATCCTTCCTGTGGTGAGGTGACCAGAACTGCAACAGTACTCCAATTGTGGCCGAACCAATGCTCTGTACAACTCCAACATAATCTCCTTGCTCTTGTACTCTATGCCATGACTGATGAAAGCAAGTGTCCCATTGCCTTCTTGACTATCCTATTCAAGTGCTCTGCTGACTTTAGAGGGCTGTGAATAATTACCTCAAGATCCCTCTGTTCTTCTGAGCTGCTCACTGTCCCGCCATTCATTAAATATTCCCTCATCTTGTTTCTTCTTCCAAAGTGCATCACCAGGGTAAAATACCATCTGCCACTGCTCTGCTCATCTGACCAACCCATCTATATCTTCCTGTAATTGACAACCATCTTCTTCACTATAATCACTCTATCAATCTGGCAGGTGATGTTTTCATTTCCAACATGTGAAGGTTCTCAAAATGTTGCAAACTAGACTGGATTCATGCCTCCTAGAAGGGGAGCTGGGGAGGATGCTGTCTGACGTGCTGTGGTCTCCAGCATTTGTTGTTTTCAGTATAGCACCCACCCCTTCCCAGCCCTCAGATGCCATCACTTTTTGTCGCCCTAAGGTCACTCCTCCTAACCTCAGTCCTTGCCGTGTTTTCACTACACCACCTGACCTTCCCCTCTCTGAGGCTAAACATACTGTCCTCGGCAAAGGACTTCCTTCATACCCTTATGCCCACACCTTAACAAATATAGGGCTCACTATGACGTTGAACTGTTGTTTCACTGCCGCCATCTCCATGCTCACTTCTTTGGGTAGGATTCTGACCATTCACCCCACCCCCCATTCCACTAATTCCTTCACCCGCCTCCTGTATTCACCCTCCACTTGGATCCCTTCCCCTGGTCTCCCAAGATCTCTTCATTGAAAACTGCTGATATGACATTGGCCATCTCAATTTCTCTGCTCCTCACGCCCACTCTAACCTGCCTCCTTCTGAAATTGGCGCACTTCACTCTCTCAGGTCCAACCCTAACTTTGTTATCAACTCCTATTCTTCTGTAGTGTCTCAGTAATGTTCACTTTTATCATCTGAGTGGTAAAGTGGCAGAGATGAACACACACCCATTATATATGGAAACTGACAAAGCTCTATAATTAGAAAAAGATCCAGTCTTAATTTACTGCCCAGGTAGAAAAAGTTGAATACAAAAGAGCATCCTCTAGTGTATTGTGAGGTTTGTCATTTCTTACTTCAGTCATTAATACAAAATAGTGCTATATAACTGTGTAATTGATTCATGCAATAGTGGAGATCAAAATGACCAAAAATTAAAATATTTACAATCTTTGGTGAAAACTTTCAATGCAGTAATTTAAGGTGGATTGAAATGTAACAGCTTTATTGAAAAAGGGAGAAGAATCAGTAATCAGTTTAATGGAGGGAAAATTTTAGAAACAATATTTTAGGAGAAAATTAACAGCCAGTTTAATACAGATGGACAAATAAAAGACCTTGCATGACTTTGTAGGTCTTGGTTGACAAAAGTTACAGGTTCAAGAGGTTACAGTCCCCTCATTCTCTGAAGTAGCAGCAAAGAAGAGAGATCTTGCTTGTACTGCTCACAAAACAAAACTTTTCACTGTTATCAGTACATATGACAACAATAAGTCAAATCAAATCAAATCATCACCTGTAAGGTCCTTGTTGCAATGAAGCAGGCAGTTGATAAAAAATACCAGATGTTGTAATGATGTGTACCCTTAATGGAAAACATTACCTAATGTAATGCTGTTTCAAACAGTCAAAGAGTTTGCGAGAAAGATGGCTCTTGGAGGGAGTGACCACCATCTATCCTCAAGAAGAAGAGGCAATGAAGAAGCAGTACCAAGAAGATCAACTTCAATCAAAGAAATTGGAACAAAATATTCTCAGGTAAACCCAAGTTGTAGTGCTACTGCAGTCAGTGAAATACCATTTCAGAGCATTGTCTGCAGTTAAGGAGTGGACATTCTAAATGAAGCCATAATCTGGACAGAATTTTCATCAAAATTGCCTGTTGTAAAACATGACGGGTAGGTACATCACTAGTTTTACACCTCAATTAATTTTGCTCTCCACTTTTCCATTCTTACCAATACTACTTTTGAAGGTTATTTAGCACTCAGCAAGATCCTTTGATCCCAAGATCAGAGTTCCATTTTGTATGAAGTACATATTAAGCTCATTCATTTAATGTACCTTCTGCTATAGTTTCTCATATCTACAAAACTAGATTCTACAAGAAGGCCTTTGACTAATATAATTGTTTAGGGGCTAGAGGCAGAGTGATAACATCACTGGATTAGTAGTTCAGAGGCCGAGACTGATAATCTTGAGATGCAAGTTCAAATCCTACCCCAGCAAGTGGTGAAATTAGAATTCAATCAAAAATTTGGACTTTAAAAAAAAAAGTTTAGTGGCAACTATATAACAATTGTCAACCGTTATAAAAAAAACCCCGTTTGGTTCACTTATATCATCCTGTAGACCTGGTCTGACCCACATATGATTTCATTCCCACAGCAATTGACTCTTAACTGCCCACTGAAATGAGCTATGTGTGGAGTAGAGTGGAGCTTTCCTGATATATCTGGATCTCTATATCTAACTGCACATGTGGAGACATGGCAGTAGCTGTCACCATCACAAGGCTAAACCCTACAAGCTTCACCGTTATTACTACCTCCAAATCCAGGCTGCTGATCTATTTAAACAACTGTTGTCTGGCATCTTGCACTTGCATTATCTCTCCCAATCAGAAGACACACCATTTTGCTGGAAATGTGACCCTCACAATGCCTGGAAGCTTCCAGTATCTTATGTTATTTCATTTGTCTGTACATGTTTAAGGGAAGCAGGGATTATTCATACACAGCTGCTGCAGTCAATTTTTTGAATTCTTTTTTAGTTCAGATACAGAAAGCTTAAAGGAAAGTTACTTGAGCTTGCTATTACAGCAACAGTGAGTCATAATATTTCTATTAATATAGAATGGCATCATTGGGTCCCTAACAATTATCAAAGTTATCCTGGGAGCTGAATGAAAAAATGAATGAAGTCTCTTTGAGAGATGAGTAAAAGATCAGTGTGATATTTTGGTTATTCTATGGATAAATTTAGCCTGTGGTGCTTGGAAAACATTTTTCAAAGTTGAAATTTCACCATGTCACATATAAGAAACACAATTGAAGAGTGCTTCAAACAATTGGCACTGTGTGTAAATGAAAGTTCCTTCTATCCTTTTATTTTGTAACATTTTTAAGAACAGTCTATGTTAAGTTTAAAATGATTGATGTGGAAGATATGTCAACTATTACATCTATATTTAAACTCCTTGTCAAGGGTATGAGAGAGAGCAAGTAATTAAAGCGATTACCCAAGGACAGTGGAATAGTAGTCTCATTGAAAGATCCATTACACTTGTATGCTTATAATGGGTGAACAAAACCCAATGTGAGTTTAGAAGTATGTTCATTTTATAAAAATAGAAATTGCTGAAAAAGCTCAGCAGGTCTGGCAGCATCTGTGGAGAAGAATCAGAATTAATGTTTCAGGTCGAATTAACTAGTTCTGAGTAAGAGTCACTTGACCCGAAATGTTAACTCTGATTTCTCTCTACAGATGCTGCCAGACCTGCTGAGCTTTTCCAGCAATTTCTATTTTTGTTTGATTTACAGCATCTGTAGTACTTTTGGTTCTTATTATACACGCATTGTCACATTTTCAAGTGTCTCATTCCCAATACATAGTGAATACCATTTGTCCTATTTGCAATTTATCTTTTGAAAAGATACAAAAGAGTTCCTGTCAGGAAATCTTGCCCCTATGATCACAGGCTAGACATTTTATGTACCGTAATTTGCTTTCAGATAGAAATATAGAAGATAGGAGCAGGGGGAGGCCATTCGGCCCTTCAAGCCTGCTCTGCCATTCTTCATGATTATGGCTGATCATCCAACTCAATAGCCTAATCCTGCTTTCTCCCCATAACTTTTGATCCCATTTGCCCCAAGTGCTATATCTAGTCTCCTCTTGAATACATTCAATGTTTTGGCATCAACTACTTCCTGCGGTAATGAATTCCACAGGACACCACTCTTTGGGTGAAGAGATGTCTCCTCATCTCCATCCTAAATTGTCTAGTTTGAATCCTCACACTGTGACCCCTGGTTCTGGACACACCCACCAAAGAGAACATCCTCCCTGCATCTACCCTGTGCAGTCTTGTTAGAATTTTATAAGTCTCAAGAGATCCCCACTCATTTGTCTGAACTCTAGCAAAAACAATCCCAACCTAGTCAATCTCTCCTCATACGTCAGTCACACCATCCCCAGAATCAGTCTGGTAAACCTTCACTGCGCTCCCTTGAGAGCAAGAGCATCCTTCCTCAGAAAGGATTCCGAAACTGCACACAATATTCTAGGTGCGGCCTCACCAAGGCCCTGTATAACTGCAACAACACATTCCTGCTCCTGTACTCGTAACATCTCACAATGAAGGCCAACATACCATTTGCCTTCTTTACCGCCTGCTGCACCTGTATGCTTACCTTCAGCGACTGGTGCACAAGGACACCCAGGTCCCGCTGCAGACACCCCTCTCACAATTTCTAGCTATTCAGGCAGTAATCTACCTTCTTGTACTTGCTTCCAAAGTTATTAACCTTACATTTATCCAAATTATACTGCATCTGCCATTGATTTACCCACTCACCCAACCTGTCGACATCATGCTGAAGGATCTCTGCATCCTCATCACAGTTCACCTTCCCACCCAACTTGGTATCATCTGCAATCTTTGAGATGTTACATTTTGTTCCCTCATTCAAATCATTAATATATATAGTGAATAGCTGGGGTCCCAGCACTGATCCCTGTGCTACCCCACTAGTTACTGCCTGCCAATTTGAAAAGGACCCATTAATTCCTACTCTTTGTTTCCTCTCTGCCAATCAGTTTCCTATCCATGTCAATACACTTTCCCAATCCCAATCACTTTAATCTCGCACACTAATCTCTAATGTGGGACTTTGTCAAACGCATTCTGAAAGTCCAAATCTACTACATCGACTGGCTTCCCCTTGTCAACTCTACTAGTTGTATCTTCATAGAATTCCAACAGATTTGTCAAGCATGATTTCCCCTTCATAAATCTATGCTGTCACAAAGGAAAACTAAGATAATTTTTTGTCTTGGGCTATGCCAGGACTGAGTGCTCAAGTCACCACAGTCTTACCAGACCATAGGGCTACCCTCTCATTAGAGAGAGGCAACTGTTGGTAAGAGTTGACTGAGGGCCACACCCAGGTGAGGGGAGAGTCCTTCATAGTGACCTCAGCTCGTGTGGGGATTGATCCCACGCTGTTGATATCACACTGCTATGCAAACCAACCATGCAGCCAACTGAGCTAAACCGATTCCCTAGGTACTAGGGAGAGGTAGAGAAAACAGAGAGAAAAAGAATTAGACATGCTGCAGAAAATTGAATGAAAACAGACTCAAACAAAGTGAAAAGGAGAGTATCTTAGACCACAAAAATAATTTGAAAATTGTAGCAATAGTGAACAGAGGAGAAGAAAGTGAAGAATCTGTGGAATAAACTGTTTGATCCAGCTATGGTATGAGGGGGGTAACAATGAATGAATTTACTGATTTTTCTTTTCATTGAAGGTTCATTAATCAGCATCAGTGGTCAGGGCAGGGGAGCCAAGGGTTCAAGGTAAAGCAGTTTGTATAAGTGGCCTCTTTTATGGCATCTAACTCCTCACCTCAAAGACCTTTTTTTTAAACTTAACCTCTGAGGGTGTCCAGTTCTGATTCAATAGACACAGAGTGGCTGATAGTTAAAGTAAACATGTTTTATAATCTTATCCATAAAATAACATGATTAAATATGCTCACCTCACACCTAAGTCATTGGAATTTCTCTCCCACCCAACTTTAAAGAGAGCTGTGGGGTGCACGAACTTGATTTCAATTCTTGTACTGCCTGGTTTCAGCCAAGAGAGGGAGCTAAAATCATCCCACAATCTGCAAAGTTATTAGATTCCTATTTCCACAATGCTTATTGACTGGTTATTCATAGTATAGGGCTACAAAAATACAAAGTGCGTTTTCAGGAGTCTCAGAGAGAGTTCTCTGCAAGCAGCATGGAAGTCAGAGTGCAAAAACGGCTGAGGCTGTATGAGGGGAATGTTCATTGGCTTTTGTTCAATTAAAATTCTTGTTTGTTGCTCCATTTGTTTGAACTTGATCAGAAAAGCAGATTGCCACTCACTGATTACTCTGTGTATTGATGCTAATGACGGAATTGATTTTTCAGCATTACAGAGCATCCAATAAAATTATGAAGGGCATAGGTAGGGTATTCAGGAAGAGACTTTTCCCTTTAATAGAAGGATCAATGACCGGGAGCATAGATTGAAGGTAAAGGGCAGCAGGTTTAGAGGGAATGTGAGGAAAAAACCTTTTCACCCACAAGGTGGTGGGAATCTGAAAGTCACTGCCCATAAGGGTGGTAGAGGCAGAAACCATCATAACATTTAAGAAATATCTAGATGTGCACTTGCGATACCAAGGCATACAAGTCTATGGGCTAGTTGCTGGAAAATGGGAATAGCATAGCTTGGTGGTTGTTTTTGACTGGTGTGGACATAATGGACCAACAGGCCCTTTCCTGTTCTGTAGATCTCAATGACTCTATGTCAGCACTGAAACTGGTGATTTGGCTGAACTGGTTTTCAGCAGCTAACTAAATATCTACCTCGGCTGATTCCATTATCTCTCTTTTCTCATTTACCTCATGTATGCATCAAGTTTTCTTTTAAAGTTTCCTTTTAATGCTATCTGCTTCAATTATTTGATGTAGCAGTGAGAGCCATCACTACCGGTCT